TTCCTTCTTTCTTTCTTCCTCAGCCAATTCGTGTTCTGCTCTCTCTTCCCCCCTGCAACCGACCAAAGAAGCCCAACCACCACCGCCTACTCCTCTTGAAAAATTTTCATGTATCTAAATACCTACTATATGTTGACTCAATGTACTCCAAGAGAGGGGTGAATTGGAGTTCCAAGAATTCTCCCATTTTTCAACCACAAAACCAAAGTTAAAGAGAGTAGAGAAGAAGAGCTTCCATAATAAATTTATAGAGGTTCGGTCCAACTACTTGGAGCCTAGTCCTTTACCTTGGCTTCACTCATCAAGGATTTCCTCCACACTCTTCACTAAGAAAGACAAGGGTGGCTTAAAGGAGCCACTCAGTCCTTTTACAAGAAGATGAATATTTCTCTCAAACCTCACCCCTTTACAATGTAAACCCCACAAATCCTCTCAATAGATCACTCTTGAAGGAATAATCACACCCCTAAGAATATACACTAATAGAATAAGAAGAGGATTACAAGCAATGATCACTCAAAGATCAAAAACTCAAGTTAAAGCTCAAGTAGGTAGGTAAAGATATTCAATGCAATGTTCTCTAGACTTCTTCAGATCTGTTACCAACCATATTTATAGCCCCTTGCTCAAAAATAGCAGTTTCTAGCCGTTGGGAGTCATTAAATGCCTTGCAAGATGCAAAACTCGAGTTGCAGGATTGTCAGGAGAGCCAGCTCAGCTTCCTAGAGCCGGCTCTGTACAGCCGGTTCACCATTTCTGCAGCCGGCTTTGCAGGATTCCTGCACATTCTGTTTTCTTCCACAGCCGGCTGCAAAGCCTAAAGCCGCCTTTAGGATTCCAACTTTAAACATATTAAATAATCTTCAAATAATTCGACTGTTGTGCATTAACTGCACCCTCACAGCCGGCTACAAAGTGGGAGCCGGCTTTGCTTCCATTTTCCGCCCGCACCAAAACAGCAGTTGAATTTCTGGCCTGTAGAGCCGGCTCAACAAAATCTGCAGCCGGCTCTCTGCATTTTTGTTTCCCAGAGCTGGCTGCAATTTTCTTAAGCCGGCTCTCTGCATATTTTTACCCTTTGAGCCTTTTTTAATGCAATCTCATTTTGCTTACTTTGTAGTATATTGGCAATTTAACTACACACTTAAATAAATCAATTAGTCACTCAAATATGTTTTGTAATCATCAAAATCATAGGTATAACACTATAATTTAAGCTAGTGTTTAACATTTTCATCTTTGTAATTGTTGATGATATGTTGTTCTAGACAGTTCAGTCAAAGATAACACATTTGGAATAATGTAACATAATGCCATCACTATCCACCACTGAGCTTTAAATTCAATTGCGTTGAATAGTAGTGATAGATCTTTGGGAAATGACGTGCGAAATTGAACCCACCAAAGCACATAATAGGTAACCATAACCAACCATCCGCTATAGTACACTCGGGATTCGAAACCAGCCAACACCACAATACCATATTTGGCAACAGATTGAATAGTGCGAATCTTATCTTTAATTCCTCTAGTATTTGTAGAGGGCAGAAGCATATCTTTGGGAAAAGAGCATTGTAACCAGAAACAAAAAATGACATAACTGATTACTGCAAATAACCAATCTTTATAATTGGCCATGGGAGATGTGAAAAGAGTAAACCAGAACATGCCATGTGCAATATTTACAACCATCAAAATCAAACCATTGATTCCTTTGGTATTTGTAGAGGGCATTGATCTATCTTTGGAATTATGATAGAACTTGCAGACACTTCGAGCCCGAACCACAATACCGATTGCCTTAACTAACCACCTTTTATAGTCAGATAGGGGAGATTCAACATTAGAAGACATGAAGATACTATCTACAAAATATAAAGCAGTTGATGAAAAAATAAAAAACACACTAACACTTTTAGTTGTGGTATTTGTACCAGGATCTTCTTCCGAATCCAACCAATACTTATCTAACCAACTCTTGAAACTGAACAACACAAAACAGATGGAAGCAATTATCCATGTGGGGAACTTCAACCCATAACGGTTGTAAGTAATAG